CAAAGCAGTTAATTTGGGGTATCTTTTCTTCTAGTCTTCATCCTACATTAAAAAAACCATGTTGCTTGCAACATAACTTTTCACATTTTACTGTGGGATTTTTTTTCTACTTCATAATATAAATACCAAGCATTTAAATGTATGATGGTTTGACTTACAATTCTTAAACTGTAGTGTGTGCCAAAAGCTATATCCTGAACTTTTTGGTTAGTGTCAATTAGCTTGGTAGATTTTCTCAGTCTATTAAAGCCTTTGACTGGTCTTTTCTGTGTACTGCTTCCCCCGAAGAATTTGTTCTTTGAGCAGTCCTGAACTGTAGCCTCTTTCTGTGTTTTATCCTCTATGCTGGTGTATGCCATAGGGAGGGAGAGGAGGAAGAAGGGCATTAGTCTATTATGAGAACATGAGGATGTTCCATTCTCAAATCTGCCTCACTAAGGGTGATGGGACTTGGGTATTTATATTATAAAGAAGCAGATGATTTTAGGAAAAGTTGGTTTGAGGTTGTCGTTGATTGGTTCCTTGGATTTTTTAAGTGAAGCAATCCATAATCTGTATATACGTAGTTGAATGGCCTGCATTTTCATAAGATATTTTCAGGAAATGGCTTTGTTAGCTTGAACTAAAGGTAGAGTTTTCGGCCTTCTGGCATCCAAAGGTCTCCTATTACACATTTGCCTAAACTCAAGTGAAAGGGGAGCAGTTTCACTCAGTTTGTAAGGGACAAAAGTAGTCTATTTCTTTTAAATAAACATTAGGCAAATGTGAAGTATAAGTGTCCCATTTTAAAAGGTGGTTCCTGTAGCAGAGCTACTGGGAGTATGTGTCTTAACTGATAAAAACACAACTAAGCAAACAAAGCCAGAAGACTTGATATGCTCAGACTTCCGTTTCTTGGATGTCTCGACTGTTGACACCTTTCTTCAAAATGTAGTTCTGAGCCAACCACGGGTGCATGCCATGAAGCCAAAGTCAGTTTCCCAGCTGCAGTACGATTGCATCGGTGCCTCCACTCTACCAACTCTTGCTCTACAGACTGCGCTTTCTAGTCTGTAGGAGAATTAGGGAAAGAATGCCTGAATGTCATTTTAGCAGTGTTTGTCTTCCTCAAAACAACAGCACATAAAAAAGATTTCTCATGCCTTTTTCCGTTGTCCCCTAATGTAGAGATCATAGAATAAAGCCTTTAAGGGAATACAGCCTGCAGCTCCGTTAATATTTCCTTAAACATACTGTTGTATTCAGCTGTTTCCATGCCAGTAAACAAATGCTTGCAAACTGTGCTCACAGACACCCAGCTCTCCAGTTTTGTCTGTGAATTCTGTTCTGTAAAATTCCTACAGAAATGCTTATATAATGTCATGAATTTGCAGTTATCTGTAGCTGGTTGGGTTTTTTTTATTTGATTTGGTTTGGTTTGGTTGGTTTTGGTTTTGGTTTTGGTTTTGGTTTTGGTTGTTGTTGGTTTTCTTTTTTTGCTATAAAATACGCCTTCCTAGCTATCTTGATATCTTTGCACAGCCTTCTGATTTTTAACATTCATTTTCTACAGATTGACAATTAAGAGTTTTAAGTCACTTTTTGTATTATTTATGCTAAAATACAAAAACTGAAGATGTTCCTTAGAGGTTTCTCACATGCTTCTAGGTCTTTAACCCTTGATGCTACTTCCTAAATTTGCTATTTGTATCCTACCCTTCATTTCATACATAATCATTTAATGACAAAAGTATCTTCATTCACAAAGGATAGTTTAGCCTTTTAATTCATAGTAGTAATCATCTATTTAGTTTCATATGAAATTGAATTTCTAGTGAAGGTTTCAATACAAGTTTAGCCAGAGGCAGAGATTTTAAAATAAAGTAAAAACATTTTTATTTGGGTACAGGATTTATTTTAAATCCAGCACACTGGATAATCTAAAACAGTGTAGTGTCCAGGATAAGAGGGCAACATTAAAATAAAATAAAATAAAATAAAATAAAATAAAATAAAAATGCTTACTCAGTAGAATAGATGGTTTGTGCTGGGAACAACCATCTACTCCATTGAGCAAGTATTCTTATTGGTCCTTACAGTTTCCATCGCTGCTTTTAGACTTGTTTTTAATGAGGTTACTTGGGATAAATCTGTATTGCCTGGTTCCTTGTTTCTGTTTATTTAAATTCTGCCATCCTTCGTGGATGCAGTCCAGATTTTCTGACCCTTCTTACCCGTTTCTTTGGTCCCCATATTATATAGCTACTGGTGTGCATATAAGCAGCCGTTTTACTAGCTGCCCTTCAAATATGCTTCTCCAGTTGTTTGAATTGTACTTCATTAGTGTTGCCCCTTTTGTTCCATGTTGGGGAAAAAAGAACAAGAATGCCAGGAGTTAGCAGAGTAAGAACTACTTAACTACATAGGAAAATTCTGAGAGAGTTAAGATAAAATTTAAGCCAGGCAGTGGTGACGCACGCCTTTAATCCCAGCACTGGGGAGGCAGAGGCAGGTGGATCTCTGAGTTCGAGGCCAGCTTGGTCTACAGAGCAAGTTCCAGGACAGGCTCTAAAGCTACAGAGAAATCCTGTCTCCAAAAGCAACAATGAGAGAGAGGTGGAGGCAGGGGGACAACAAACAAAACAAGCAAAAAAGAGAAAATTTGAATCTTCATAACCTAGAGAGCCTAGTTTACAGTTTTAAACTCTTTTAATTTAAAAAGAATATAGGCTATAATTTATATCTTTAGTAAGAATAGCTACAGTTTACTTATCTTTTATCTATAATTTGCCAGTTAACTGTATAGGAGTTTAAATTTCCTTTCCACTACTAAGTTCAGGCCCGAAACTCATATAGTAAAAAGGATTAGTGAAAGATAAGTTTGTACATTTATTTAATAGAAGTTTTGTGTAACATAACAGCCCTTCAGAAACAATGACTTAAACAACTATGTTGTATATTTTTATGCTCAGGTTTGAGCTGGATAGACTTGAAAAGTGTAGTTTAAGGACTAAGGAATTTGTTTCTATGGTGACAAACCAGGGTGACCATAGCAAGACTTACTTACTCAGCTTTTCCTCTCTGTCCCTCTGTATATAGAGTAGGTACTTCAGAGAAAACAGAGTTCTTTTATGTTCTGCTTTAGGGAAAAGGGCAGGGTGGGCATCAGAGAGAGATATTCCTGCTTCTGCCAAGGTTCTGTTATATTTGGTATAGTATATCTCGAACTCCATCAGTGCACTGTTCCCTCTGTGAAGTCCCATCAAGATTTTTTCAAGGGCTTGAGGCTATCTTATTTATTGAAGCAGTTGCGTCTGAAAGGATTAAGCAGTTCTGTGCAGAAATAGTGTGCAGACCCACGTCTCATGTCTTAAAATTATTGTGGGTTTTGCATGGGTGCATGTGTCTTTTTTCCCCCATAGTGTTACAGAGTATCTCTAAAAATAGCACAAAACTCTCAGAGTAGCTTTACGTGTATGACCAGAGGAAATTTGCAGTAGCAATTTTACAAGTGCAGATTTCTGGTGCTGGAGAAACGACTGAGCAATTAAAATCACTGCTCTCGCAGAGGACCAGGTTCAGTTTCCAACATTCATACAGCAGCTTACAACTGCCCGTACCTCCTGTTCCAGGGGAACCAACATGTTCTTCTAGCCTCTGCAGGCACATGGTGCACATAATACACATACACATAAATAAATAAATCATTTTTTATTTAACTTTTTATTGTTTTTATTGAACTATACATCTTTCTTTACTCCTGTCTCCTGTGATCCCCATGATCCCAATTACTCAGGAGATCATGTCTTTTTTTCCTTTCTATGTAACTCCATGTATGTCTCTCTTAGGGTCCTCTGTTTAGGTTCTCTGGGGTTGTGTAGAATGATTTTTCTTTGCTTTGTTTAAAAGCCACTTATTTGTGAGTACATATTATATTTGTCTTTCTGGGTCTGGATTACTTCATTCAGTATGGTGTTTTCTAGATCCATCTTTGTCTGCAAATTTCAAAATGGCCTTGTTTTTTTACCACCGAGTAGTACTCCATTGTGTAAATGTACCACATTTTCCTTATCCATTCTTCAATCGAGGGACATTTAGGTTGTTCCCAGGTTCTGGCCGTGACAGATAATGCTGCTATGAACATAGTTGAGCACATGTCCTTGAGATTATGATTGAGCATCCTTTGGATATATACCCAACAGTGGTATTGCTGGGTCTTGAAGTAGATGGTTTCCTAATTTTCTGAGAAATTGCCATACTGATTTCCAAAGCAGCTGTACAAGTTTGCATTCCAACCAGTAATGGAGGAGAGTTCCCTTTATCCCACATCCTTTCCAGCATAAGCTGTCATCAGTGTTTTTGATCTTGGACAGTCTGAATCTCAGAGTTATTTTGATTTATATTTTTCTGATGACTGAGGATGTTGAGCATTTCCTTAAGTGTCTTTCAGTCAAAATAAATCATTTTTTAAAGACAGATAAAGATTTTTTAAAGACTTCTTTTAGAAGTTTTTAATATGCATCACCAGTACAGAATCATTTTCCTTGTTATAAATATCATTGTGACTAGTGTTCTCAAATGTGTGCAAGAATAGTGTTCTCAAGCGTATGCAAGGTATTATGAAGTATGAGATCTTGGCATGTGATGGAACTTGAAGGCATCTGTAGATGTCTTGAGTAGCAAAGATAATTGTGTGGATGTGGGCCACTTGACATTGGAATGACTGAGGTGCGGTGAATACATGTGCCTGTGTATCTCCATCCTCCTTTCATGTACATACTTTGAGAGTTTTTCTCCCTGACTAGAAATCACTTTGCCTTTGTTTGTTAAATATACTTTTTTTGATGGTTCTTTTCCGTTACCTGGATCCTGTTTTTTTTTTCATTTAAGTTGTTTTAATGTATTAAGGTATATCTAGATGTGAATGCAGTTAGAAATTAGAATTATAAAGAAGTCAATGAAGAAAATTGGAATATAAAGACTCTATAACAAATGTTGTATTAATAATAAAACACACTAAAAGTGGAAGCTGCGGAGTCAACCATGTAGACAAATGAGAAAATATCTTTTGTCTGCAAAAGGCAGCAATCCTACATAAACATGGAGGTCTCTGTCTGACTTAGGACAGTGGGCTAAGTCTGATCGTTCCCCTCCATACAACTTTTTGAACTACCACTCTAAATACTGTTTTCCTTATTATTTTGTTCAGTAGCTCTTCTGGTTGAGTGTATTAGATCATAGAAGCAAACAAAAAAGAAAACCAAGTAAAGCTAGTTCAGCCATTTTGAAGTATTTTATGATTTCGTTGTCTATGTTTTGGCCCTTTTCTTTTTAATGCTTTTTGAAATAAGGTCTCTTGTCACTCACGTTAGCCTTGAACTCCTTCCTCTTCTATTGAAGTACAGGGGTTACAGGTTAGTTGATGGTTTGTGAAAATGGATTACTGTTACTGTTGGCTTATTTGTTTAAAGAACCTACAACCAGGATGTACACTGTATGTAGAATTGCTATTTTTCTAGGGAATGGGATAGACTAATTGATCTAAAGTTATCAGTTATTGAAAGTAGCTTTCATGGAGTACTTTTTATTAAAAGTTCTTGTTTCTTAGTATTAAGTTTGAAGTTGTGGTTGAGTCTAAGTTTTGGGAAGCAGGGCAGGAGGAAAGGAGCCAGGCAGAAATTGAGTGGCCCAAATACCATGTTTGTGGTTCTAAACTTTCCGTATTTCTTTCTTTGAGCAAATTTTGCTTGAGGCAGTTATTGAAACAGTTTGCTGAATTTTCCTGGCCCATTAGAAATCCATGGTCTAGTTCTTCATTTCAATAAACAATTTTAAAATTTTCTAGTGATTATATTTATTTTCTTTATTTTTTTAGCATAATAAATTCTAATCTAGATCTAAGATTCCTTTTTATAGTGACCTGACTAATAAGTGGCATAAATATTATATAGGTAAAATTCAAAGAAAAAAGCATATGACCTAATTTATGCTTGAAAGAATATATCAGAAATATGATTCAACCAAGCCCAAAAAATGTATTTTTCCTTTGTTATTTAAATCATTTAGGGTACCCTTTTGGAGATAGTCCTTGTTGTGTGCCATCAGTTTATTTATGTTTGCTGTGTGTAGATAGATGTGTATATCTTTACCCTTTTTGACATGATATATGTCTATCTTGATTTTTCTCATCCACAAACTTCTTTAAAAGCTATTCAATATAATCTATCTAACCAGGTGGATAATTATGAACCAATTGATGTCCATATTAATAATAATTCTGTGCATTGTTCCAATATCATTAATTACAGAACCTGTCTATATTGTTATGCTCCAAGGTTGAATGTAACTATTTTTGTGGCCAAGGAATAATCACATACCAAACCTGGAGATAATCACATGTGTAATATGTAGTTTTTTAATGTTAGGTTGAAACTGTGGCTTTTAAATTTTTTGCTGTTTACCACTGAGGACAGCTTATTACTGAGCCTAAGGACTTTGAGGACACAAATCTAAAGGTTAAATCTTAACAGTTTAAGGTTAAATGGAGGACAGGAAGGAAAGGAAAGAGAATCTGTTGATTCCAGTGAAGATAGGTTCATGGTTGGGATGGATCTTTCTTTTCCTTCTCAGATAGTTTATGTTTATGTTCACCTGACATGTTTTAAAATAGCAGGCCTGTAGCTGAGCTCAGCGATAGTGTTTGCTAGTTTACCCAGCAAACAGAAACCCGAGTTCAATTCCCAAGACAAAGACAAGGAAAAATGTACTAAAATAATAGTCACAAGTATTGACTACTTTGAACTGGCTGAATACATTTTTGAAGTAGCAAATTAGTTTTTTTTTTCCAGAATATTAAAACATCTTAGTCCTGTAAAGATATAGACTAACCTCTGTGTGTTAAAAGACCATTTTCCCCAGGGAACAACCACTAATACCAGCTTTTAATGCAGATTTTCATGCATATTTATTAGCCGTAAATATCAGTGACTAATTTATTTCTGATGTTTTATATGTTTATATACTATTGCATTAGAATAACCTTAAGATTTGAAGTTCAGATTCATATATAATTTTCCTCTAATTAATTGCTATACTTTGTTATATCTGACAGTAAGGATACTAGGAACTATCCAGCACTTAAAATGACATTTATGTGCAGCAAAAGATCTGTCTTATCTTTTCTTAGAATTATTGTTTTTTTTAAAAAAAATCAGGGGATTAAGAGATAATCAGGTGAGAACACTGGCCTGCTCTTCCAGATGGAACAGGTTCAATTCCCAGCACTCACATGGTGATTCATAATCTGTAACTTCAGTTCTAGGACATACAGTGTCTTTTTATTACCTCATCAGGCACTGCACACACATGGTGCACAGACATACAGGTAAAGCACCCACACAGAGAAAATAAGAAGAAAAAATATCAGTATAAAATATCTTCATTACTCATTCAGAAAAGTCTCAGTTTGAGCTGAGGAAATGAGTCAATGGGTGAAGTGCATTCCACACAATCATGAGTGCCCAAGTTGGTTACATAGCACTCACGTAAGAAGTTAAGCATGCCATTGTGCGCTACACCCCAGAACCCAACAACTTACTGACAAAACAGTCTTCTGAAATGTCAAGTTCAAACTTCACTGAGAAATGGCCTAAATAAAACTTGGCCAGCTCCCCACACAGACCCTGAATCTACACATAGAAAGGTCTTAATTAAGAAACTTAATCTCAGAATTGAAGCTATTATAAACCTCTTTAATAATGTAAATCCTTTTCTCATATTTGTTAGGTTTGTTAAGAAACCAGATATTTGTTTGAATGAATCAAAAAACTAAGGGTTCATTCTGTTGGTCCAATAATAATCATCATTTAGTATTATCCTAGATGATGTTAAACAAGGATACCTAAGTAGGGAGGAATTAAGGGATTGGAATGTAGTGGGATAATCTTGTTCTCTTTTGGTAAAGAAGCTCCATTCTCCCAGATCTCAAAGAAGGGAACATTTGGCCTAGCTAAGCCATGTCCACTGAGAAATCCCACCTCCTTCAACCTTCATTCTATAGCCAAACCCTTTCTTTTATTGAAAGCACTTGCATGTGTGCATGTGTAATTTGACATGTCTATGTATGTAGTGATCAGAGTTGAGGCTCTCTTGTACTTGTTAAATGCTTTCCTAAGATTTCATTCTCTTAGGTGCATGACAAAATGACTAGTTCAATAAGACTATACTCTCAGACTGTCAGTGGTTTTAAGGTGGCCTTTTTTTTTTGCATTCTAAGAATATTTTCAAACTCAAATATTATTTTCTGTGTTTTTTAAATCCTATATTTTGTTGTTTTTTACATTTGTGTTTAAGCCTTAGAATTAATTTTTAGGGTGATACAATATAATTGAGGGATTTTTTTAATATATATTACAGCAGACATACAATTGCTTTTCAGAATATAGTTTGGCAGAACACAAAGAATGTGAGGGGAATTTTGAGTTTTTGTGAGAAAATCAAAAACAGCAACAACAACAAAAAAAGAGTCTTGTCGCCTCAGTTTCTTCAAAAACAAGGAATTGTTCTTGGAATGTGCTTTTGTGCTCCTCCCAGGTATAGCAGCTAGGAGTGAGTTTCCTTTTGATTATTCATTACAGCTGAAAATTGTTACTTGTTCATGTGCCTCTATGCCTGGCACATGTTGCTTATCCTTGTGATTGGACACTTTATTCATAGGATTTTTAACCCTGAGTATAAATTGTCTGATGTCTGAATAAAGTTGGCTATTGCATGAGACTTTAGTTCACCTCAGTTTTGGGCTCCACTCTCCTAGGTCTACACTGCGGATTAGAGTCGTAAGCAATGGTTGTTTCAGTACTTTCAGTACTCTTTGTCATTCTAATTATTCTTGCCAAGTTCTTTTGAAAATTCACATGATTGCATAGTGATTTGTTTCTGCGCTTTCTATTTTCTTATCTGCTATAGTTTCTCTCTTTTTGGTGACGTGCTGAAATCTACCTCTAAAGTTCTATTTTTAAAGCCTATAGAACTTTAATTGTGATTGCAAAAATAATTAATATCTTAAATGCTATCTGACCCACATACATAAATATATGCAGGCTTGATTTTAAACAACTCACATAATTGTTTTATAATTTTTAATATTAGGTCTTTTTATCTGTAAGTGGAAAATTATTTTAGATGCTTCTATAAGTAACACTTTTAAAGTTCCATTTGTTTGTCATTTATAACTGATTTATAGAAAAACATGAAAATTTAAATTTTCATGTAAATGATGTTGTATATTCCTGCAAGAGTCTGTTTAATATTTCCAGGAGATAGTTTATTAATACTTATTGAGATTTTCTACATAGACAGACATGTAATTTGCAAGTGAGGATAGTTTTACTGCCTTCTGACTATTATATTGTTTTTGGTGTCAGAGTGCATTCATGATTTATTTGCACATTTATACGTAGATCAGTTGCCACCTTGAATAAAATATTTGTTGTGTTAGTGATAGGTTCAAGTGAATTTTGTATTATATGTGATTTTTGTCTTCTCAACATAATGAATTGTATTCTTTGACATTTTAATTTTTTGATGCTTGGGACTGAGCCTAGGGACTTGTATAATTGCTAAGCTTCACTGTACCAGAGATCTATACCCTGAGCCTGTTGTTGATTTGTTAATGCTAGAGACCAAGTTAATGTTGGGATAAATTCTACCGATATGCCATGTATTGTTTTTAGATTTTTATTACAGTGTAATTATATTTTGTGTATGGGTGTGTATGTACTGCAATTTGAATGTGGAAATCAGAGAACAACTTGTGGGAGGGAACTGGTTCTGTTCCTAGAGATAGTACTCAGTTCCTCAGGATCCTAAATCACCAGCCCCTAATGTGTTTTTATTTTTATAAATAAATTAAGATTAATTCCTTTAATGATATATTTTAAGGTTTTTTTTTTTAAATCTACTTATAAAGTCAGTTAGCTAGTTTTATTTTCATGATTTTCTGGCTTTGTTTCATTCATAAATGTTCATTTATGAATGTTTGAAAATATTCCTCATTCCTTAGTCACCAATTTTTCCTTCTGTCATATTGAGCTATTTTGCATTTTTTGTATAATTTGTTTGTGTTATTACTAGTCAATCTTACTGGCATAAAGTTTTACATAATGATATTATTTTAATGCCTGGGATATCTACTGGTATATCTTCCTTCATTCCTGATATTAGCTTACCTTTCTTTCTTTTCTGATAATGCAAAATTTCTTTCACACATCTTCATATGCTCCCCGTTCTCTACTTGGGGTTCCAATTATACATGTACACAATGCCTGTGTTTGCTCTGTTGATCAATGAAGTGCTGATCTCTGAATTTCCACCAGTTTTCCCTTTGACTTAGTTGTATTTGTTTGTTCCTGTCTTGCCAGATATAGTGCTTGTTTTCCTTTGCCTTGTCCTTTTTTCACTGTTGTGTTCCCATTTCCAATACTGTATGTTTCTCTTTGGGTACTTAGGATTATGTCTTCCGTGCTCCATTTGTCTACTTGAATATAATTATGACACCCTACTTTTAATGTTCCCATTTCATTGTCCTGGTCATTGCTGCATCTCTTTGTTTTTATATAATGCATATTTTCGTTAAATTCTTTTTAAATGTTGAAATTTATTCTGCTAGAAAGTTAAATTTTTAAAAAGTTAAATTTTTTTCAGGTGAACTTGATGATGTTAATCTTTTCTTCTTTAAGCTGTATTAGAGTAAATATAAAGAGACGATTAAGAAAAACTGGAGAGCAAATGTTTCAGATTCGTAGGCTAGGATTCTGCCACTGCATTCTTTCAGAGACAATATATGAATAAATGAGCATAGCTGTGCTCTAGTAAAACTTAAATACAGAAAAGTAGGGCATTTTGTTGAGCTTTCTTTCTTTATGCTGCATGCTGTTCAAAACTTTGAACTTTGGGAACTCTGGGATTTAATAATGTGGATTAACAGTTTTACTTTTTAAAAATTATTATATTCCTGACACTGTATAGTTTCACTATGTAAAAGTACAGATTATTATTCAGACCCATAATCAAAGGGAACTGACCCCTAGGCAAATTACTGAAGCATTGCTTCTTTATATTTTGCATATAAATTCTAGTCCATCAGTGCATCCTATCCTCCCAGTACTCTGGACATCATTCTTTGCCTTCTCAATTCAGCAAGCCCCCATCTTCTGCTTAGATTTCTCTATGCTATATTTAGACTCCTCCTCCCTACTTTATGGTCCATAAATTGGCTCTAAGCAGAAAGCCCCAGGGTGGTTAGGAGATTCACAGCATTGACTTCTTTTCTCAGAGATTGAGAAGGCTATACTGTCTGTACTCCAATGGTGCCGTATGTGTTTTGTTCACTCTATTAGTTGTTCATAGTCGGAGAACAAATCCCATTTGTTTACTGTGTCCTGGCCAGAAATAATAGCTATATTTATTAATGCATACTTTGTGTGTGTGCTTGCATGTGTGTCTATAAAATACATTTTATAATGTATTCACATTTCAAATAATATCTCTCTAAAATAAATTCTCAAACTTAAACTAAGCAAATACTTATTCTTTGTCAGGTTAGTCAGGATTTTAACCTACTGCTTTTGTTAAACACTGTTGTAGAGAAAATACTGTACTGGTATTATGATGAATTTTGGTATATGTGATTTCTATTTTTATAAAAATTACTGCTAAGTTTTTCGTTGTCTTTTTTATTCTCAGATGGAGAAAAGGTGGACACAATGTACTAGCTCTCTTTGAAGAGAGTTTTGCAGTTAAAAAAAGAAAAAGATAATGAGAATTATTATCATTTTTATTTCACAAGTAAAAAGACACATCTAGCAAGACTACAATTATAGTGAGCAAACACCAGTCATCCAAAATGCAAATACAGCTTGGCTTGTTTAAAGCTTTTAAGTAATAACCCCTAATAGCAGAAGTAATGTTTCTGGTTTTATTTTTCTGTTATATTGAAAAGAAAATCTAGTATTAAATCACTCCTTTGTATGGTGTTTGGAGGAAGGGTGTACTAAGATACGATGATGTTTTCTACATTGAATAGTCTTGAGTGTGTGTAAGAATTCTTAGGACACCGTGCTTTGTATCTGTCAGTCCTACAAGACCATTTGAGCTACTCAGTCTATACACTGACAGAATGTGTTAGGACCTCTGGTAACAACAGTTACATCATCTATAAATGCCAATCCTAAGAGTGCAAACAAAATGTGCCTATACATGGCTGGTAGTTATCAGATGTCTTATTTTCTTGATCTTGCATGCTACAGCCTTCAAACTCCTTATGTGTGGTCATTTAGATAAATTGTCCTATTTATATATTGACTCTAAACTTATATATTGTAAGATAGTCTGTTAGGGTTCTAATCTGAATGCTGAAACTTTTGAACATCAATATGCTACTACAGGTGGAAAATTAAATACTTGGTTTTATGTAACAGGTTGCATTATAGATGCAGGCACACTAAAAAGCTGTGTGTTTAAGATGTACAGAAATAAAAGGAATTGTATCTTTATATTTAAGTCCTGTTCCAGACAAGAATATTCAGTCAGTATATAACACACTTTCCCATGCCCCGTTTCCCCAGGAATCAGATAACTGAATTACATAATTTATAGTCTCAGTTCACAGCAGAAAGAGTTCCCTGCTAATTGCAAAGTCAGTCCTCATTTTCTCCTTTCTACCTTCCCCTTTACATTAAAAAGTCACTAGAACTAAAATGAAAGAAAGAACTGATGCTAAATCTAAAAGTTTTTCATTGTCCTTGTATGTTTCCATAGCAGTTGATGGTTCTTAAGGGCCCCAGCACCTCATGGTACCAGTTCCTAGCAATAGCCTTCTTGAAAAGTGTGGAGTCTTACGCAGCAACCAGTTGATTGGGATATGACACAAATTCTAATTGGGATTAATAAAAACCCAGAGTCATGCTGGGCAACAGTGGCATGTGCCTTGAATCTCAGCACTTGGGAGGCACAGGCAGGCTGGTGTCTGTGAATTCGATTCCAGCCTGGTCAGCAAGAGCTCGTGGTTTACAAGAGCTAGTTCCAGGACAACTACTGTTACACAGAGAAACCCTGTCTCATCAAACCAAAAACAAACAAAAAACAGAATCAGATATAGGGGTTAATGCTGAAGATCAGAGATGCAGAGCCGTCAGACATAGAGAGTTCTTTCACTGCTCAGACATAAGGGGCGATCCTGTCCTCAGACTGTCTCAGACTGCAGCTCTCTCCACCAAACCTCAGACTTCACTGAGTTGCTTTCTCCTTCCACCTTATATCCCTCTCTACACCAGCCTTATCACATCTGTCTCCATCTTCCTAGTGCTTGGATCGCCTCTGTGTGAGCTGTATTTCTCTTTTAGACAGATTCAATCTTGTGTAGCCCAGGGTAGCCTTGAACTAACAGAGATCCCTCTGCCTCTGTCTCCCACGTCCTGGGATTAAAGGTGTATGACAAGACTCCCTGGCCTGTAGTGTTTTAGGTCTGTACTCTGATATTTAGGCAAGCTTTATTTGTTAAAACATAAAGAAAGTATCACTATATTGGAGTCTTTGCACTGCTTTTGTTGTTGTTGTTGTTTTGTTTTGGGCTTTTTGTTTTTTGGTTTGTTTGTTTGTTTGTTTTTTGCACGTTACTTTTTGCAAGTTCATGTTACTTTTTGCAAGCCAGTCCTTTCCAGGTTTCAAGGGGTAGTTTTGGTATCATACATACAGCTTTTGTTTGAGCGTCTGAGGCAGGTATAAAAATTCTGCCTATTCTCAGCTTCCTAAATTCAAATCAGTGAAAGAGTAGATAAATCCCATTTGCTTCTTGCTCCTTTCACTTCAAATACCCTCCCAGCACGAGAGCACTAATAACTATGTTAAGGTCCCAGTGTGTAATCACCCAGTGAAAATGTCTGAACTAACTCAGTGGATGTTCTAGAGAAACAGTTGCTCACTTTTCTCAAGTTATCTTTATGCATGCTAAAAGCTGGCTTTCCACTTTAGATTCCCTTGGTATCTTAGGTTGAAGTAAAGGAAAAAGGGGAAGAAATTACTCTTTTCATCTGCCCTTCAGGAAATCTCCTATGTTCCTAAAGCTCTTGTTTTTTGTTTTGTTTTGTTTTTCTACCTAGGAGTCCAATGTGCTGATTGCTGCTAACAGCCAGGGTACAATTAAGGTAAGCCATTTCCTACATCCCTCCCTCAGTTTAAACTCAGATCCATTTTTTAAACTGCAACCAGCTCTTGGAAATATACAGCTATACTGAGCCTTCATGATCTTTCCAAATTAGGGGTTTCAGCCCTCAGAAATGACTTAATTGACAATGAAAGAAATAGGTAGCTCACATTTATGGAGATGATAATGCTTGTTGGGGCTGAGGGCTAGATGGTTTGATAAATGGTCAGAGAGAAACAGGTGAGGGCTATTGGGTGTTTACTTTGGGCCAGCACAGCCATACATGGGACATTTAGTAGGACATTTGGCAGAACATGAGTGCCTATGTATTTGCAGCCTTCATCTGTACTTTGTTCTTCCTCATGTTTCTCTTCTTCTCTTCCATAACAAGTAGAGTTTTTTCTCCCTCCTTGCTAAGGTGGGAGTCAGAATAGAGAGGAAATTCTATTGTTCTGTAATCTGAAAATCTGTGTGTACCCAAGAGCATAATCTGAGTCACAGACTCATAGTGTTAGCACATGCTTTCTTTTTTAGTTAATGGTTCAAGGAAATCAAACTTTCATTTGATTATAACTTTTAGTATTTAGCCCTTGGGCATAATGCATTATTTATATAAATAAATGATGAGCTAAGCAGTGAAGTTTTTCTAAACAAAACCTTGTTTGGGTGGATGGAAATTTTTATGTATAGAAGTTTGGTGCTAACACATACTTTAAGAGAACATCTTTCTCTTATATATTCTTTTGGAAATTTCAGAAAGCATTTTTTATGATGTTTGTTATTTTGCCACAACATCCTATAATTCATAAATAAGTGACCTGAAGCATCAAGGGAGCAAATCCAAACTAACCTCATCCTGTGGAAATGAACATACAAACTCAAGGCAGAACTGCTTTGGTCAGCTGGTCAGCTGATTCATATGACAGTTGTCTTTTCCAGGCAGGTAGTCTGTTTGGTAATATCTTTCCTAAAGAGGGACCCCAGCTCCATTGACAGCTAGGCCTTTAATTGAAATTATTAGTTCCTTTCAGGAGGCCTCAATCAAGGTGGTAAGTCTTGGAATTTGACTGAAGTCCCTAGTCTCTCAGTTTCACATTCTCTTGGCAAGGCATGGATTAAAAATAGAACACCTTAATCAGCAGCCATACGGAGCATATGGAATTATTAACATCCCTATAACTGCAAGGCTACAATGGAATCCCATAGATCCTCAGAACCATACATTTTTCAGCATTGACCTGTCATGTCTAGAGGACCCTAATGTACTACAGAGTGCATACAAAAAGCACTGTGAAGCTCAAGCAGAAGATGAAGGGTTGCACCTTTCAGGTCTTTATGACCTAAAATTACAGTGTCCATGGAACAGTCCTTGACAGTCCCCCAACCACCTTCATGTTCTCTGTCTTTCTTAGCCATTTCCTTCCTTGTTTTCCTCAGTTTTATTTTTATCACCATCACAGCTTACTTTCATGGCTTGGTAATAACATAACACTAAAACTAACCAAGTTTTTTAATACCAGATGGTTAGCATTGAAAGATGAAAGAAACAACAGGAAAGGCAACATCCATATCCTTTAAAATCTTGATCACTGTTGCTTTAGCATTGTTGACCTAGTGCTCATTAAGAGAAGAAATATTAAAATCTCTTACAATATTTTTCCTTAAGAATATTTTAAAATACCAAAAGATACTCCAAAGATACTCTGTGCATGCTTCACCTCACCATTTGTATCCAACAGTTTCACTTAGTTTGCTTTAAAGACTTCCTAATTGGTGCAGTAACTAATTTGAAATTTTTTATACAGTGCTTGAGTTGAAAGAAGGAATGAGCATCTGGTTCTTTCCAGTTCCTTGGCATTATACCAGTTAGTAGGCATTTGTATTTTCCAGTAGTACATGCAGTAAAATGTCTTTAGACTTGGATGTTTTAGAACTCCTCTGTGAAACTCTTCTTTGTGTTTCCCTTATTAGGTGCTAGAATTGGTGTAAAGGGTTTCCTGAAGTCAAATTGTGTTTGATCCTCCTGAAAACCATCTGCAGCAGATGATGAGAAAAGAAAGAAATGGCATGTGATGTCTCTCCAAAGTCATCCTGGGTTTTGGATTTGTACTGAGTACTTTTTTTCCTCCTTTTATGCCATTGGGAATACCCAGAGAATTCTCCGCCATCAGTGTAACTATGAACTTTGCTGTTGGCAGTGTGGCTAATTTTTGTGATAGGGAAACAAATTCTTTTAAATAAAAATAAATAAAAAATAATAAAAGTTTATTGAGCCACAGCTGAGCTGGGAATGCCTTTGTTGGATGTTGTGAGAGTCTTTTGAAGAAGTATTACAGCTGGGATGTAGAGAATGTACTGGCTGGGGCAGGAGAAAGGCTCAGTGAATAAGAGCTGGCTGCTCCTGCAGAAGATCAGGTTCAGTTCCCCGCACCTGCTTAGCACCTCGCAGTTATTTATAGCTCCACTGGGCGATCTGGGTCCTCTTCTGGCCTCCTGGAATACCAGGTATGCATGTGGTGCACATACAGACATCTAGGTAAAATGCTCATACATTAAAATGAAAATAAATCTTATTTTAAAAGAAAGGAAAAAATGTACTGGTGAGTAATTTTAAAGTTGTTTTCTCCAACCTCTTTGGAACTGCGCATATCATTATGAACAAAAGGTAAAATGTGTGGATTCTTTCCAGTGAGGTTAATGTTTAGAATCAAAAAGAATTCCTTTCTATACACCCTTATGAGATTATCATCATTAGATCTTTTGTGTTCCTCCAGATCTGGCCAAAGATATAAGAGTTTTACTTACTGGGCCAGTTCTCTTTGGCAACAATAAGCCTTCGATAAAGTCAAGTCAGCTTTTGTTTTAACCAGACCTATCAGATATTACTGGCCAAGACTGATCAGTGACCTGGAGCAAGGTCAACTGCCCTTTTTGGTAAAGGAACATATAGAAAATATTTTAGGCTTTGCTGGGCTTGTGGTCTCTGCTATAACTGCTGAGCTAGCTCCACCAGTGCAGTCGGAAAGTAGTCACAGATATGTAGACAAATGAGCATGGCTGGAAGATAGGTGAAATTCCAGACTCTGCCTGCAACTCATTATCTCCAAGCCCCTGACTTGGAAGTGAACTTGTATGCTCTGGTACTCCTAATTTCCAAGCATGTGACCTCCTTAATTGTCTAATTAGTTTATAAATCATTTCACATCACAGAGCATTGGGTCAAACAAAAGTAACATGGAGAACTACTTAAATCTGAATACTTTTCAGAAGAAATGGTTCAAGCAAAATTTTTCACACATTTCATAAAACACTTGCAGAAAGGTTGGTTGTGTGAAGAATGCTCTATCCCAGTAGATCCCTCAGTTAAAGGTAATTGAGACCTAAGTAAGCTTACATCTTTTTCTCTGTGTATTTATTGAAGCCAAGTGTCTCTTGAAATTTAGAATTTTTCAAATATCAGAAAATTCAGAAAACTCATAAAACTATATTAGATAGCAAGCCCAGCAAAACTAAAGCAGTATTTCATGGTCCAGCACACACTTCTGCAGCAAAGCATGCATGTTCATATTGTATGAGATTGGCTAGGAAAGAGGAAAAAGAATCTTACAGTTTAGGTAATGTTTTATCTTTAAATGACTTTTCTTCAAACTTAAGTGAAACTTACTAGTTTTCACAGCTTCTAGAGAATTGCATCTTACATGATTTCTAAAAGTGAAAACCTTCTAAAAATTTGGCCCCTAGTCTGAGAGAAAGGGCTGCTATTTGGGGACCAGAGAGACTACTCAGTGATCAAGAGCACTGCTGCTCTCGTGGAAGACCCAAATGTGATTCCAAGAAACTTCAGGGCTACCCACATCTCTTAAAATCCCAGTTCCAGGGAATTTGACATGGTGCATGGACATCCATGCCAGTGAAACACCCACACACACGAATAAATCTTTAAAATTTCAAGTTACCATCTGTCACCAGTGAATGTTGAGATTAATGAATGGCAGCTTGTGGAAATGTAGGAAGAGTGTTCTAAAAGAGGTCCTGGTATTAGAGCTACATGTCCTGAAAATCTTTAAGAAGTAGTTAATGCCACCTCGAATTCCTTTAAATGTTGTTTTTACATGCCCACATTTTTAATTATTCTCCTCATGCTCTATTTAGTAGAGTTGGTAATGTTAGTTTCCATGTTTACAAGAGACAATATTCTGTTTGGTTATCAAAAGGATTTGCCCTTTTCTTAAATAAATTATTTTAAGCTGGTGCTTTCCTGTTTTTTTTTTTTATTTTTTTCTTTATTTTTTAAGATAGATTAGCATGTAGCCTAGACCAAATAATTTTATTCTATAGTCACAAGTCACCTTGAGCTTCTTATCATCCTGCCTCCATCCTGGGTGCTGGGATATAATCATGTGCCATTCCTCCTACTTTTAAGTGCTGGGGAATACATCCTAAGGCTTTATGCATGTATCAACTGAACTACATCTCCAGCCTCTTCATTTAATTTTTTTTTCTTGAAAATCATAAAGTGTTCTAAATTTGAGTTCACTTCTGCAGGACATCAAGATCAAAATAACGCTATTCCTTGTAAAAATACAATGCTTAAATTATGATTAGAGAACATGTACATTTTTAACAAAATTCTCAAGAATAAAGTGTCAAGGTGTGTTTAATTTTCATTTGTTTGTTTTGTAAGGTTTTTCACAGAGCTTGTCTTTATTCCCAAGCATATATTTCTGTGCACAGAGAACACTTTGAATTACTGTGTAAAGTTCTTGTTAAAAGATTGAGTTAAGTAGCAAACAATTAAGAGACTGAAACCAAATGTGGTGGCACACTCCTGTCATCTTAGCGCTTGGGTGGTAGAGTCAACAAGGTCAGAAATTCAGGATCATCCTCAGCATCATAGCAATTTCTAGGCCAGCCTGGACTACCTGAGATGAAACTCGATCTCAAGCAACCAGGGTGGGGAAAATTTTGGAACTTAAATACAACTTTTAGATTTATCTTATAGTGGTATATTATTTGTGTTATAATAAAGAGAATTTGTCTGAAGATCAATGCCAAGCAGCTAGATTAGGCAGTCTTACAGGCCAAGCAGTGGTGGTGCACACTTTTAATCCCAGCACTAGCAAGGAATATAAAACAGGAGGAGACAGGTCTCAGTCTCAGTCTGAGCACTCTTGATGTGGGAGAATTGTCTGTATTCTGTCGATCATATTTTAATAAAACGCTGATTGGCCAGGCAGGCAGTATAGGCGGGAAAGCCAGACAGGAAGTAGGGGTGGAGCAAAGAGACTGGGAGTATTCTGGAAGCAGAAGCTCCCTCTGCCACTCCTGCGCAGACCACCGAAGAGGCAGCATGTAACTTGCCCAGCCGAGAAAGGTACGGAGTCATGTGGCTAATGTAGATAAGGATAATGGGGTAACATAAGTTATAAGGACTAATAAGAAGCCTGACCTAATGGGCCAATCAGTTTATAATCTTATGGAGTCTTGTGCGTGATTTTTCTTTGTGGCTTGCCGGTTGTGGGGTACTGGGCGGAACAGATACCCCAACAAGCCGGCCCTCATGTCACACTCACGGAGGGAGGGTCACTCACTTTCAATCTGAGTGAAGGTAAGAGCCAGTGGCTGGCTGCTTTGCTTTTCAGATCTTCCGGTTGACCCCCAATATCTATCTCTGAATTTTTATTATTCATGCTACATTGTCTTTCTGAATTATTAGTAAGCAAGGGAGAAGAATACAGGATGAGTTTGAACAGAGGAACCCAGTGCAGTGGCATTTTTTGGGCATGATTGAGAATTTGGATTTTTGTTATAAAACAGTTAAACAGAATGATGTTATCAGATTGATGACTAATGAATTAGTGAAGGCAAAAAGTTAGGAAAATAGTTGAAAGTTAATAGGAACTTGAATTAAAGATAAAATTAGCCACCTTAGATCCTGCTTCAGCTATTGGAGTTAATCTTAACCAAAAGAACTTACCCCAGCTAGTTTATTTCTTCAGGGGATTGCATTATACCAGGCCAGCAATGAGTCACTTGGAAATATCATGGCTACAATGCTCACGAACTTTTAGCTAAGCAAATCTAGAAGACATCTAGCCCTGGTTCTAAATATAAGGGTAATTGATCAGTACCCTTCATGTAATTATGCAGATATAGCTGGTGTTGGCTGCTTCCTGTGAGCTTGTTGTGTTCATTGGCTTGTATAGTAGTGCCTTGCGCTTTTTCACAGAACAGTTAACTTGACAGCATCTCTGCAACTTCTGTTAATGGTTAGATAATTGTGAACTCATTTCCAGAGATCTGTTGAGCTCCTGCTTCCGTGAGAACTCTGTCCTATGTTCCAGAATAATTATAAATTGTAGCTTATTGTCTACTAAGAGAGATAATTAGGCACCTAGGCAGAAATGTGGCAGACATGAGCTTTGTGTGATCACTGGGAAAACACAGGAACTAATACAGTGGGAGATGAAGAATTGGGGAGAGGTAGTTATCAGGTTTTTATCTTAAGAGAAAAATAACCTCATCTGAATCTTAAGCAAGTAAAAGTCCTAAGAATTTAAGGGCAATGAATTTTAAGAAAATGTAGCTCTCTTGCCCAAAACTGGAACACTGGAACAAGTGAACAACAGAATAAATGTTGAGATGCAACCACATATATGGGATAAATTGTGAAGCCATACTGCTTCAGTATGTAACTGTGTAGAAAAGGGGAGGTAGAATAATTCCAATTTGTGGATATATCCCACCCTCAAAATACCAATTGAGGCATACCTCCACCTTAAGTATGATCTGTACATAGTGATTTCCTCCCCAAAAGCTTAGGAGGGTTTTGCTTGTTTGTTTTGAAAACATAAGAAACTTCAATTTTTTAAGTTTTATTATTAACTTTTATCTGTGCGGGTGATTGCATGTGTGTCTGTGGAGGCCAGAATAGGGCATCAGATCCTGTAGAACTGGAGTAACAGACAGCTGTAAGCCTCCATGTGTATTCTGGGAACCAAAAGCAGGTCCTCCGGAAGAGTAACCAGTGCTCTCAACTGCTAAGCAATTTTTCCAGCTCCAAGAATTTTGAAAGAAGCAAAGCAAAAACAATTTTATATACTCAAAATGTAAATATAAATACTTTGTTTTTATATAACATAAAGAACATTTTATTCCAGAAACTTAAAAGAGTGGGCTAAAATTGAATTGAGCTGCATCTACTTGCTTCTACTCACAGCCAATATGTCTCACCAGTCTAGGTGGTTGGTGTGTTTCTCAATGTGCATGTAAAGTTTA